GTATCCTTGTCATTCTCTACACAGAATGAAAAGGACGACTCATGTTAAATTTAGTTTCAAGTTTAGAGAATCACGCCGGAATCGACACCATTATTTCGTATGCATGCGCATTAGCCAATAAGAAGACAAGTATTCGATCAAACGTAATTTTAAAGGTGTAAATGAATATTAACACTATTTATGAGGAAATAATGTTTGTAAAGGCTGAGTACTGGTGCACGGCTGATTACTGGGTGTAGTAACAATAAGCTGACCGGACGTGCTCGGATGTAAACGGCTATTGGTTCGAAGCATACCGCGAAGACGACAGCCGATTATCGCCGAAAATGTCCGATGCCGCTCACTTCGAGCATGCAAACCACCATAAAACTAAAAAAATGGTTGCCTGTAAAGTCGGTTTTACGGGCGAAGATTTTACGTGACAACGTCTTTTTCTCGGTAGAATATTTATTGATATGAATATAATTAAATTGCACAATAGGAACAAGGAATTGAATGAAAATAAGAATTGCACAAATTTTAACTATAGAAATATATTTTGTTTACTAAAACATTGTACATGTAAACTTAAACTTAACACGAGAGACTCATCGTAACGTTACCGAGCGTTACACTTTTTCATAAGTGACTCCCAGCCGCAACCTAATTTAAGACGTTGTCACGTCAAAAAAACATAACTTTGCATTTTCACTTACGTCGTTCGGAGTAGCGACGAAACAACACATTATACAGGCATAAGATATCATGCTTACATAATGCCTGCTAATTGCAAAAAGAAAACAAAGCAAACAGATATCTATACTTATAATAAATCTGTAGAGAGGTCAATTCTGTACATGAAATATATTTTCAAAATAACTATCAGGGGGTGATTAGTGATCGATACTGATGCCAAAAATGCAATCAGTAAAATTTTTGTCTGTCTGTCTGTCTGTGTGTATGTTCCTTATAGAAACAAAAACTACTCGACGGATTTTAACCAAACTTGGTACAATTATTTTTCATACTCATACTTTTCATCATGCTACAATCAATAGCAGCAGAGTAGTGAAGGGAAATGTTGCGAAAACGGGAGAAGTTACTCCATTTTTTAAGCTTCTGTCGCGTGTGCAGCCCTAATGGTTAAAGTTACATAGAAATCATGTATGACGAAAATATTCTACATAAAATTGTCTAAAAAATATTACGCAACAGCATATGTCAATCTTTTATGGTTGACTCACAATAACACGTGTAATTATATAAATAAAGTCATTGTTTATAGCACAAGCCTGAGAACAAAAACTATAGTTTACACTACAGCTCTACACCGAAGCGAAGCGAGGGCGGGCCACTAGTTATATAATATAAGAGTGTAATCTTCCCTTTATCCGTATTTTATGTATTTATATATATGTGTATAAATATACAAATTCTGTCTCCTGGTCCTATCTCCAAATTCTGATCCAACCTGCATCCATTTCCTACCAATGTTTCCCTACCTTTGACACTGGCAATGCACAAACCGTGTCCTGACATTAAAAAAAAAGGAGTTTTTGGCGGGCTTTTATCGAGTGCGGTTGGCGTCTTAATTTAATTACTCTTTAAATTCGTTCATAGGGGATATTGTGAAAGAAAAGTGGTCTAATTTGGTGTTACAATCGTCTGCGCAACTGAAGAATCAACGGAATCTTTTAAATACTCGCTATATCGGTCAAGTGGATGTGAGAACTTTATTGTAGTGTTGACTACCTCACAGAAGCTTGCCGAGAAAGCTGACTCGATACATTTTGTGCCAAACACTTCAAGAATATGAAACACTTCAGAATGCGTTACACGTACATTCTAAGGGTACGGCCAGAGTGCACTCAGACTCAGAAAACAGGCTCGTGAGATGTCAGCTTGAGGAAAGCAGGTGATGGCCACAGTGGAGGCAGGTAATACAAGACGCGGACGCGAGCACTGTTGCCAGGTTGGGGGAGGTTACTCCAAATTTGGGGGGGTTTTTAAAGTGATGGGGGGATTAATGGGGGAAGAAATTTTGTTTTGGGGGAAACGGGGGTTTTCTTTATTACATTTTTATATAAAAATAAAACCACTTCATAAACTTTCAATCTGTAAAAAGTCGCAATCGACAGTCATTCAACAGTCTCTCTTTCTCATTCGACGCGTTCAAAGCTGTTGATCCAGAAACTTAAATTGGGGGGTGTTTTCGCAGTTGTAAACATGGAGGAGTTTTCTAATGAAGATCGATCGGAGAATATGAGGAATACCATCATTTGTTTCCCTAATTAAAAGTCGATAGGAAACGTTTCTTCCAATATTTTAGGATGGAAGTGGAAACGTTCTAACTACTACATTTTAAAAAAAAAGCTCACATGATGAAGAATTAACATCAGTCTCTCCTTTTTATTCTGTATAGAGAATGGCAAGGATGCACTGTTGTCAAATTTAAGTTTAGATTTAGAGAATCGTGCCAGAATCGACACCAATATGTGGTTATAATATTTACTTTATTTTTGAAATAAATATATTTTTGTTGCTCTTTGCCTTACTAATATTATAATAACAATCTCTAATATTTTTTTAGAAAGCTTTTACTGTCAAAAATATGCTTTAAGCAAAATTTAGTAATTTCGCCTGCTACGTATTTTTTAGAATAGGCTAGTTGACCCTTTTTGGAAAAAGGTTTTAAATGGTTAATAAATGTTCTATTAGACCGAAAAAAAATGTATTGTATTTTTTTTAAACCTAGAAAGCTACAAATCTTTAATTTTAAAATAGACTTTTCATGGACATACAAAAACGCTGTCGGCCATTTTAGTCTATAGATTGTCTATGCTATGACGTGAACTGTGGTAAACAAAAACTCGCAAACACGTAGAAAATTACTTTTAACTGAGTTTATAATAAAAAAAAACATGATTTCTAATAAATACCATGAAAAATAAAGTAATTATCATTACTGTATTGTACGAGAATATAAAAACACATCCTTGAAGACTCCAGGAAAGTTGTGGATTAAAGTGCCGATAGAAATTAACCTACGCAACTTTATTACACTTATTCATATGTTGTATCAGTTTTATGTTTATTACTACATTGTAATACTAAATGCACTGTACTTACATAGATGCCTTGTCGTTTCTCTGCTCCGCAGAGCAGAAATCGGGGTTTAGTGCAACAAATTCACCAACCATCAATGCGTCAATTCTTGGCAGATTTGTGCTTTCTGCTTTCACAAAGCCGGCATCCATAATTTGTTTAGTCAAAAAAAACTAAGTTTACTGTTTTTTTCTTTCTTAAAGTTAAAAGTGTTTTAAGATAAATTTAGTCAGACGAAAGAATCCACCTAAAGTAACACGCGAATGACATTTAGTTGTTTACCACAAGAGACGTCAAAATCATGGCGAATGTGGCGAACAGCGTTTTTAGTGTTTAAAAAATATAAACTAAAAAATATATTTTAAAATTAAATTTCTACAGCAATCTTCTGCTTTTATGAAGTGAAATCGATATATTAAGGTTCCTTAGACTAAACACTTTAAGAAATAAACATTTATTTAATACAATTCGACATGAGTAAACTAGCCTATTATAGTATTTGAACCCCTATTAAAGTAGGATACTATATTTTATAGGAGGGTTGGCAATCCTATCTGCAGTCCGAGCGGCGCTGGTGAATTCAGAATCTGAATGACCTAAACATTCCGGTATAGTGTCTGACTCCGAAACCTGCGCGGGCCTGCTGCCACTATGGCCACCCTGCTTTAACTACACTGTTTATTTCGCGCGCTTGTTTTCTGAGTCTGAATCTGAATCTGAGTGCACTGTGGCCGTACCCAAATGTAAGAAAAAGGAAGATTAATACAAAAATAAGACGATGGCTGCATGGATTTGCCTTTGCCTTTCCCAATTGGGAAGAATGGAACTAAGAAAAAAGGTTAGAATAAGGGTACGGCCAGAGTGCACTCAGATTCAGATTCAGATTTCGAAAACAAGCGCGAGAAATAAACAGTGTAGTCTAACACCCATATTCTTAGACGGGTGCTCAAACCTTCCTCGACTCAAACTCATTCGAGGGCTCCTTAAGGAGTTCCTCCAAATAACCTCGAAAATGGTATTCTAGTTAGTATCTTGAACAAACTTGAGAATACCTCCACTGAGAATTCATCAGAATTGTGACGTCATCATTTGGAGGATTTTATTTCTATAATGTTGGTCAGTCTGGATAAGCATTCATTTTTCACTCACTCAACTCACTCAAAAGTCATGATTTTTAAATAGTCTGTGGTTATAAGTAATCTGTGTTTGTTGTGACATTGACATCCTTTTTGCGCATAGTGCATTTTAAATTTGTTTTTGTTGTCATCGCCAAAATCTCGACTCTGGCAAAATCCAAGGGCACCGAACTTGTTATTAAAATTTTCACTGACACAGATAGAAGCTAACAAATCAAGTAGTCATCAAGTTGCAACCCGAAAAGAAATGGCAGGACGACAAATTATTAGCCAGGCGGAAAAGTTTTGTGTGCAAGAGTTGATTATAAAATATAAATTAAATTCGCATGCAACGATGGGTGCAGGGACAGGGAACCCAGCGGCGAAAAAAACGGCGTGGGCACGCCTGACGGATGAATTTAATTCTATAGAAACGAATACCAGGGTAAGTTCTTTAATATATTCTGAACCGCGTGGACTTCTCAACGTTATCCCGCGGGAATGTAATATTTTCCGGGATAAAAAGTAGCCTATGTTCCTCTCCAGGCTACAAAGTATCTGTGTCCCAAATTTCAGCCAAATCCGTTCGATGGTTTTGGCGTGATTGAGTAACAAACATCTAAACTTTTAAATTTTATAATATTAGTAGGATGAATAAATGTATAACCCTATTTACCAAGTTTGTTGTAATAATATAATGAATAGAAATTCATTGTAAAATTTCATGTTTATAGAGAACCGAAGCCCAATTAAAAAAATGCTGGGACAATATAAAAAACAGGCGCAAGCAAGCATTAGCGAATGAAAAGATAGAACGGATGCGAACTGGGGGGGGACCACCTCCTAGCACCTCAGCCCAAGATAATATTGATGAAGCGCTAACTGAGGCTACAGATGTGGAGTTGCACTTCGCCATTGATAGTGACACGGTTTTTCAAGAAGGTAACTAATTTAGAATCAATTATTGTTTAAAAATGAAGTTGAAATGCCAACAAGTTCACTGTTATATGGAAGACCACATAAAGTGGACGAGGCATAATAGCTAAAATTTTAAATCATTTTTATTTTAATCTTTTCCACTTAAATATCTTAAAATTTCTTTCATTCTAAGGGCCATCTGAAAACTGTGGGGATATTGCCTGTCAAGTTACAGTCAACGAGCAAAGTGAAGATGGTGCCATTGTTGACCTTCAAGCAGGTATTTTGTGTAATTTTTAATATATTGCATAATTGTTTCATATAAACATATTATTTATTTAGATCTATCATTATCTATTTGTTCTAGATCATAGCTATACTACACCCAGTGGGAGTGCTGAGCCTTTCCTAGGTGAAGGATCGCAGGATACAGGTTCTGAGCAGACTAGCTCTGTTCCATCTGCGACAGGTAATAATCAGAACAGCTATTGGTTTGCTTTTTCCCTTAAATACCTTTAATTTATGGCACAATTGTTAACAGTGTATGTGACAAAATCTCAATGCTTGTAAGTCATCATCAGTCAGTATGCCACAGCTGTAACAGCCCATTGCTAGACTGAGCTTCCTATTTAGTAGTGGAGGGTTACGCCATAAGCATAATCAAGTAACTCTGTCATAGAGATTATCTCTTAAATAATACTACTATTTATTATTACTTTTAGTAATGTGTAACATTTTATATTTCAGCATGACGTACAAGGACCATCAGCAGAAGATCTGGCTCTCGGCTTTCAGATTACACAGCATCATCTCAAGCAACAGGTGCCTATTACAATGTTTACTATTTGATGATTTTATTTATATTAACAGTACAATATTAAGATGCATTTAACTGCTTGAAGTAATAACTACTAACGACATTCATAACAAAAAGCTAGTTTAGTTTGAAGTTACTGATGATAGTGTGTCTATAATTTTATTTGAAATGTGGTCAAAATTTATATTAAGATGAAGTAGGTACCTAATAAGGGTACGGTATGTACTACAATGAGTTGTAATTAGTTTTCGTTTCTTTTATACAGCGCGAAATGTGCGTTCCCATGTAATCACTGATGAGTTTGCACTGAGAGAGGCAAATTATAAAAGGGCTCAGGAGAGAGAAGAAGAAGTTCACAAGCTGAAGATTGCTGAGAGGGAGTTTCTGGTGAAGGCCGCTGAAGAGAATTACAGAAAAGCAGTTGTTGAACGGCAGAATGCCGAAGAAGTGCTCCGTTACAATAAAGCATTGCGTGAGGCTGCCGAAGCCAAAAAATTGTAAAAATAAAAATAAATGATATTTTAATACCTTTGTGTCATTTTACTAAATTTAATAAGAATATTACTTAACTAAAATGTCTTAAAATAAAAGCTCTTCTTATGATGCTACCCCTTTCAGTATCATGAATGTCAGGCACAGGGACTTCATCTTCTTCGCTGACACTATCTTCCTCTGGAAATACTTCATTAGAGAGAACGCTTATGTTATGCAAAATAGCGCAAGTCACAGTTATATTTACAATATTGGGCAAGTCATTTTGCATAACTCTGGCTAAACAAGCAAACCTCCGTTTTAGGACTCCATTTAAGCGCTCTATGATATTCCTTGTGCTGATGTGAGCATGATTATATCGGTGTTCTGCTGGAGTTTGTGGGTTAAGCTTTGGTGTGTACATATAAGTAGTTTGGGCGTAACCGCTGTCACCAACCAAAATACCTGGAATATTCCCCTCTTCAAACCGCATACAGCAGCGGCTGTTAGAGAATATCCGCGAGTCATGTACAGATCCTGGCCAACGGCATACAAAATCGTATATCTCCATTTGAGGGCCACACACTATTTGTACATTTATGGAAAATACTCCCTTGCGATTTCTAAAAAGTTCACCACTCTGCCTTGTGGGGCAATAGATTGGCACATGTGTGCAATCTATGCAACCGACTACTCCCGGGAACCTTGCACGCTGATAAAATTTTCTTTGTATTTCAGGTAATTCCAAGTTTGGTGGGAATTTAATAAACTGACCCACTTTCAGTGCCAGTTGTTGCGAAATTCTGGACACTATCTTTGACACTGTAGCTTGGCTCAATTTGTGCAGGTCTCCACAGTCAATCTGAAATAAAAATATCTATTACATTTTGTTTAAAGTAAGTACTATAACCTAGGTATAAAGCATAAAAGCATAGACATATTAAATGTAAAGTAAAATATCACACAACAAACATAGGTAAATACCTACTTGAAATAATCCTGTCGCGTAAAACTTCAAAGCCACCAGTAATTGTATTAAAGGCGGTACAGGTAGTCCTCTGTTATTATTATTTAGTGTAATGCTTAGCAGAGGAAATATTATTTGTATGACTGTATCTTTTCTAAACCGAAATCTTCTTTGAAACGAATCATTGTCGTAAACCTCAAAAGGATTTGCGGCGTCACGTAAATACCGTCGCGCCAGATAATTATATGGTTCATCATCGTATACGTAATCCATAAAATCCACAAATTCGTCAATAATCTCAAAATCAGACATAATTCTCGGTAAAAACGACTTGAAAACACCTTAAACACTACTCGAGGAAGCCTTAAGGTACGTCGAGAGCTACCTTGAGTTTGACAGTTTATTCCTCGACTCGACCTCCACTCGAGTGAGGAATATCTCAAGTGAAGGATATTTTTGTTGTCTTAGCATACGAATTTCCTCGAATGAGGTTGAGTCGAGTGGAGTAAATCTCGAGGAAACGACTAAGAATATGGGTGTAATAGTCCAGTCAACAAAGGCTTAACTTTGCCATTTTGAGTTGATCACCTGTAGGTGTTCTAAAGACGAACCGGTTTCAAGGACCGTTTTGTGTTCCGCGACGATAGAACCGTTTTACGTTTCGGATCAAAACAGTCTTCGTCGAACAACTAGTCCTCGGATTGTCTGCACGCCAATATGTACTTTATGATAAAGTAAATACAGTCTATAATAGAACGCAATGATATGACATGCCGTTTCGTTCTATGATAATTCAGCTTTGATTTTACAATAATATAATCTTTATTGTTGAACATTTAAAGTCGATTATCGTATAACACTACATTTATTTCGATGTTTCGTCGTCTCGTTCGCAGCAACGAAACGAACGTTAACCAGATTACATTTAGTTCAGTTTCGTTGCGTTCATTCGTTCGACCGTCGCGTGTCGTTTCGTTGCATCACCCAGCCGCAACCATAAACAGTTGCGACGAGAACTATTTTCTAGGACTAGTTTTCGTTTAAGAGAAAACGGTTGCGTTTCGTCGTCAGAAAATTTGAGAACGACCCACCGCTAATCACCTGCAACTAACGCGAAAATTTCCGCAAGGGTTCGTAGATTAATATACTAAAATTGCAGGGTTCTGCATTGAGGGCAAAGGGTGAAAAAAAAATGCGAAAAGGTGCAAAAACGAGTTTTTCGTCAATATCTCGCGACTGGCTGGAAAAATAGAAAAAGTTTCTAGTATAAAGTTATAGAAAATTTAATTTCCTACAAAAAAGGTATCAACATATTTTCGCGTATCTCCCATAGTTTTTGCACAAAACGCAATTAAAGGTGCAAAATAAAAAAAGAAAACATATGATTAATGGTTTTTTTTCCATTTTTAAACGATCCTACGGGTCAAATTCAATAATCACCACTTACTAAAATATTTAAGGATGAGTTTTCGGTAGTCCACTGAAATGAAAATTGTCTATTGAAATGGTAAAAAATGACTACCGAAATGATACAGCCAAGAACATCGCCTTTGTAGTAGGGTAGGGTAGAAGGGTTCCCTATTTTGAATTTAAATAAATTTCCTTATTCTTTTTAAATATTTTTGTTCATTATTTTTTAATAAGAATTATTAATGAAGAATTAATTAATTGTTATTCCTATTAGTTATTATTACTAATTATAATTATTAATATGTACATTTTCAAAATAACGAACAAAGCGCGTTTAGAAAGCGATAAGTTTATTAGTCAGTAAATCGTCCCCTTACTGCCGATTATCTGCACTTTTCCGCTACTGAACTTTTATAATACCAATCGACCCGTCTCATTAAGCTGCATCTACAGGTAAAACCCATTATGCTCTACAACGCATAGTTCCTGAAATAGCTAATGAATAAACAGAATAACTGCAAATGATTTCCAAATTTCTTGATTTAAAACCTAATAAACCCATTCAAAACACTTCAACAAACAAAAGTTTGTAAATGTATTACCGCTGAAAGTAAGGTTCGGATTTAAACACATTTTTCATGAAGACACTTAGAGTAAACATCCTGTGAGTATCCTGTAATTGGCTTTGACTGTTTGAATTTTACCAGATATTTTAATTTGTTAGATGAAGTAAAAATTAACAGATCTAAGTCGCTTTTTTCAAAAACAAATATATAGTATATTTGCATTATATTTGAGGCAATTGAATAAGATACCGAATTTTAATTTGTTGTTACATAATAACTTTTATTCAACGCTTTATAAATTACTTCAGCTAAAATCGATTATCGGTGCTTACTCTTTTCTTCCACTATAATTTATTAGCGTTAGACATCGTTACTTTAAAATTTATGTTTCAGCTAAAATCAGCCATCCATGTTTAATCGTATCTTCCGTACACAGATCGCGCGCTAGGGAGTGAGTTGCTCACTTTTATTCATTCATTGTTGAATCGCGCGCTGGGCAACAATGTTATGTTTTTGTTTAATTATTCACTAATAAACATTACTGGGTGAACTATTCTGCGTATTTGGTTTAAAATGATAATTACTAAGAAAGATAACGAAAAATAAACTTGATAAAAAAATTGATATCAATTTAACTTTAACATTTATTTTTATTTCATCGTGTTCAGCGCAAAATTTGCATTTAAAACATATATTTGCAATATACAATACATATTCTTATAAAAAAATTGAAATCATTTTTTTTTGTCAAGATTATTATATGAAAAAAGAAATAAAAAATTCCCGAAACATATTAATTAAATCCCAATGAAGCATGTATGTGAACTCCCCAAGCAAAAAAAAAATACACGGCATTGCTCAGAGCGGCAGTGCAATGTGCAGATTTATGATTTTGACTTTTTTTCTTAGTTAAGTAGGTACTTCTCAACCTTGTCAAAAAGAATGATTGAGTAATGGGCTCTATTCCATGAAATAAAGAAATACGAAGTGGCATTTTATCATCACGGTAACCTGTCTTAAACCCAATTCCTCTCGTAAAATTATTTGCCCTGTGTTACATTTATTTTTTCGATTGAAATTAACATTTATATCATTAATATATCATAATATAGCTTATCAACACAACCTACTACTGTTTGTTTACCTTCTTTCTTATACATGTAACAAGCACTCAACTTTTGTCCTGGAAAAGTTATCATTTCCATGGACAGTAATTTTCTGTGAAATAGGTTCGTCTACATTGCGTTGTTGTGTCCCGCTTGTTAGTGCTCACTTCGAGCCAGTCCGCCTTCGCTGGAGCACACGCACGCGCAACAACGTCATTTTGGATTCCTGCCAAATAGTAATTATATCATTTCAGTGATATGGGGACAATTGATTCAGTGGACAGAAATGCCGATAAGAGTTCAGGGAATGTAAGTATCGCCGAAATGATACATCCATAAGTTTTTAGAGATCCTTGAGTCAATATAGGTATATTAAATAGTTTTGGTTTATGATGTACATTTATCTAGATACTGTAGGTTCGATATTTCAGGTGCAGTAGTATTTCTATCTAAAATATCTAAAGAAAAGTTTACTAGAAAAATAAAATATCTACGTTAAAAATGTATATTAAAGTTAAACCGGACGAATTCGTTGGCGGCCGATAGTATTCCTAATTAAATAAGTGTAAAAAAAACAGTATTATTCATCTGCACTTGACTCGCTTACACATGATGAGTCATCAGAATGGTTTCTAAAGGAAAACGATCAGATTGACTTGTTTCTGTAGCCAAAGATCTGTATAATCCATGGTACTCTTCAGGTATGACACCTTTGTTGCACAAATCATCAAGATCTTTTTTCTTTGCTATAGATCTTTTTTTTATAAATAGGTTCGTCAAATGACTCCACCAGAGGTTAGGTGATGGAGGAGTCTAGACGCGAAGATAGCTGGTACAGCAGTATTACTTGCCACACCAGCTATCCTCATTTTGCCGGCCTGCAGAATTGCTACTTCACACACGTAAGAGGGCAAAGTAATCCATTTGCGGATAGGCTGACAAAGAAATGAGTTACCAAATTTCTTTGTTCACGTTGGAATA